AACAACTCGATATAGGGGCCCGCCTGATTGGGCCGGGCTGAACAACAACAACTCGATATAGGGGCCCGCCTGAATGGGCCCGGCTGAACAGCAACTCAATCATAGCAATACGAACATCTCTGCAGCAAGTGGACTAGAACATGAGGACTGAACTGCAAGTATCGTCATTGAGAGGGACTGATCATCAAGATATTATCTATGCAGGGGCCAATTGCAAAATACTGCGCGTGCAAACCGGACTGCCCTGATATCATGTGTGCGGGAAAAATACCGTCCGCACGGAGTCTAATATGAATATCATCCATGCAGAGACTGATCAGCAAGAAATCAAATCAGCGGGTCGACGAACATAATGTGGTCCTTCGCCTTCTAGTTGGGAGGCAGTGACTTCTTCCTACCATCCGTCGTGGGTGTCTGACCATGCCCTATCTTTGCTTCAAGGTCTAGGGCCTTCTTGCTGAACGATGGGAAGTTGTGCATGTTGATGTTGGCCTTACCTGCCAACTGATTCCTCAGAGGCATGGGAAAGCATCTCAGGTAGGAGGTGAGTAGGACCTGCGGGTCATAGCACACCCCAGGGACACAGATCAGACGCTCTACAGCGACAGTGGCCTCCCTTACTGACTTAAATTGCCTCGTGTGCAGTGTCAGGATCGCGTCAGTAGCCTTTTGGGCCTCCTGCGGATCATGCCACCTGTCTTCCAACAACTTGAGGAAGTCATCCAATTTCTGGGTGACCGCCCAAGCGCGAAAGCCATGACCGTACCCCTGTAGCTGCACTAAACCACTCAACCATCGTGCTGCACTCCCTTCTAGATAGGAGGCAGCCACAAGTACTTCCTCGTGTGGCAAGGTAAGTTTGCACTTGACATAGACTGGCACTGCCCTCAACCAAGTGTCGAGGTCTTCGTCCCTCTTATCCCCTGTAAAGGGTTTCGGTGCGGCGATGGCCGTCTTTGGTACCCACTGACTTTGTCCCGGTCCCTGCATCACTCCGGGCTATGGACCCTGTGGTGCAGGCTGCTGCACTGACTGCTGGGGTTGGGTACCCTGCGGCTGTGCAGGCTGCGAGACAGCAGGCTGCCCGCTTACGACAACCTGCGACGGAGGTTGGGTGAACACTGTCTGTACAGGAACCTGCAAACTAGGACCTACTGAGAACCCTCCTGCTAATGGCATACCCAGGGAAACGGTCTGGACCGATGCTGGAGCTGTATATGGCAAAACCCAAGTCACCGGTGGGACAAAAGGAGGAGGATGTACAACGGGCCAGGCACCGGGCCCCGGACGGTGATGGTGTCGCCTGCACTCGCCCGACTAACACAGCCAGACTATGTTGGATGTCCTTTAAGATCTCCATCTGGTGATCTTGCATCCCTACTACACTCAACAAGAGCGACCGTATGGTCCTCACATCATCCTCCATCTCTGCTGGGTCCATCTCCTCTTACTCACTAATGTCCGCTTGCCTCCGCTGCATCCTGGCTCTTCTTCTAATCATTCTCTCTTTCTTCGCCTTAATCTCACCTAAAGCCTGTTGTGGTTGTGCCTCACGATCAGCAGCTCGCTGTATGGCGACCTCCTCGGGAGTCATCACTAATGGCTGCTTGCCATAACGCTAGTGGACTGACTCTGGGTTTGTGCAACCATTGACCCTACAGACTCTGAACTGTCGGTCTGGGAACTCTGCTGCGTAGCAGTTGCCATGGCTGCTGAAACCGCGGCTTCGCTTGCGGATGCTCTGCTGGTCTCTGCTGCCCTAGCCCTCCGCTGCTGGTGTTGCCTCTCCCTAAGCAGGCGGAACAGATATCTGTCGCCCTCTGGTCCTAAGGCCAAGTGGGCTATCGGGCGTCTAGCCGATCGCAAGATCCGGCCGTCCTCACTAGTGGCGTCCCTATCGCTCATATGCTACAGAACTGCACACCGTCTACACTAGGACGCACAATGGATGCCTACCGCAGCGACATGTACAGACCGATATAAATAATCGGCGGCTATATCAAAGACTATACATTCGGGTCCAACAGGTAAGTTCAGATTCCTACAAATAAAACTATTTTTAGTTTGACTAGTTCTCGAACAGAATGCACAATGAACAGGAAACAGTTCTAATATGTTGTCTGTCAAATGTTAATGGCTGTACATCTAACTAATCAAAGCATAAAAATAGAATCATTTGTGTGGATTGGGACAATCTGGAAATTTTCCCGAACTTATCACTTGAAATCTACCCCTCCCTTAGTTCCTCTTGAATGTCACTTGACGTCAGCGTCCCTGAGCCATCCAGAGAGCAGTGCGTGTCTAAAGGTGTGCAATCGGCCCACCCCTATGGCCCGAGTCCTGTTGAGCTGGCCAGCTCTAGCACATTGTTTTATCCTCGCGTGCAGCGAGCCTTACACCGATTGGCTGATCACGAGGCTATTTAAAGACCGCCCCCAAGTGTCCTCAGGAATGATTTAACGTCGCAAACAGGACGACAATCACAGCCAATGGTTTCCCCTGCCGGTGTTTATTTATGGACGCCCGGTTCTCATCTCCCACATAGGGTTGGCCTGCCCCTCAGAACCCATCTAACAGCGCAGCGAGCCGAACAAAGGACAAGCAGCAAAGCATGCGTGCTCTACTCCCGGTGGGTTGGCATGGTGACCGTGACCCAGTGCTTCGTCCAGGGCCCTTCAGAAAGCTTCGCCCATCTTCTCCCATATGCTCCACGTGAACATTGCCGACTCTCAAGGTTGAGTGCACTCGACTCCTCACAATGAGATGACTCTCAAGACGGAACACACATCCTCACGGTAAGAAGTGTCGAAGAGGGTTAAGAGCAACGTACCTCAAATAGCTGCCCCCAACCACAGAGATAATCTCACCAGATGACCTGACGCCGATTGTGATGACCAGTCATTGCTTCGGCACAACCGGCATTACACGCCGTTCCACCTCAGCACCAATCGCACATCAGTTAGTTCTCATCACACCGTGCAGAACCCACATTACACCGCATAGCCTTCCTGGCGAACCCCTCTCCACCTGGGTCGCCTACTCTTGCCTTCGCCCTCCTCATTACACATGTCCCACGGCACGGTCGCTCACCGCACACACCGCGTGCATGTACCACATTAGGCAGAAGACAAACCCCAGATTAGCGCACCGTACCACAGCTCCGATACCAAATTGCAAGGAAGATGAGCAATAGCGAACTTCAGCAATCAAACAGCATCATACACATTAGACCAGATAGTCGTGACCTCGAACCAAAAGCAGAATTGCATCATGAGTTTCACCAAATAAGAGCACACCAAAAGCTCATAATTGACAATGCTGGAATAGTCTCATCACCATCATCAACGAAGAACCAATGTTGATATCCTATCTGGCGCTCGGCGCCCAGACTACAGATGGCAGATCCTATCTAGCCTACTCGACAATGCCGCTGATGACGTCAACAGCTCCCCGAAGTACGAGCAGATCTCGGCCAATGCCGCACGCTTCAAGCACCAGGTATGTCTCTCGTATCACTCACAACCTCGTTCCCCAACTCACAGATGCCACTTGCACCCAAGGACCACCATGCGCCCCATCCAGCATACAGCAGCGCAGCTCGGCTATGGCTGCCTGCTCCTTCCAGCTCGCTCGTGAGCACGTGAACCTGGCAAGCAATAGCGCAGCAGCGCTTGCGCACAAAGCAGCCAGTGCCCGAATGTCCAAGGCGTAGGCAGGCCCTTCCCTATATCGAAGTGGCCTGCGGCTGCGTGCTGTGCTGCGGTACTGGGCCCCCGTCCAGAAGCTTCCAGTAGGCCCAGGGAGGCTGAGCCTCAGTCCGAAGTCAACAGGCCCAGGGCCTGTGGTGGTTACCAGCACCCAAGTGCCCTCAGCCTTTGTTCGGTCCACTTTGTGTATCCGGCCCAGGGCCTGCCTCAGTTACATGCAATGCAAG